TACAGCGGATAGTGAAAACAGCAGAGAAGATCATAGGAGTCTCCCTCCCCTCAATCAAGGACATCTACACCACACGCTGCATCCGCAAAGCCACCAGCATTGTGGCTGACTGGTCACACCCCTCTCACACACTCTTCACACTCCTGCCATCTGGAAGAAGGTACCGAAGCATTCGAGCACTCACATCCAGACTGTGCAACAGCTTCTTCCCACAGACCATTCGTCTCCTCAACGAAAAGGGACTGGACTGATAAATGCATGCATGCACACACACTCACACACACACACGCACGCACACAAACACGCGAACACACTCATGTTCTGTCCTTAATTAGATAGTTTATTTTTCTTATATTTTTTTCATGTTGTAAATTTATGTTGCATGTAGCACCTTGGTCCTGGAGGAACGTTGTTTCGCCTCACTGTATACAAACCGTATATGGCTGAAGTGACAATAAAGTTGATTGATTGATTGATTGATTGAGAGGAAAACTCCCTTTTAACAGGGAGAAACCTCCAGAGAATCCTGGCTCAGTATAAGCAGCCATCCTCCATGGCTCACTGGGGATCGAGAAGACAGAGCAGGCAGACACACACACACACACACACACACACACACACACACACACACACACACACACACACACACACACACACACACACACACACACACACAAAGACAAGTAATGTGTCTATAGCTATATTGTGATGTCTTAGTAAATATTGTATTTGGTGAAAGATAAACTTTATTGTATTTATCCTAGTGGATAATTAAACGGATAAACTAATATTAGCACATCAAAAGTCAACGAAAACAAAAAGTTATTATCAGGAGAGAGAGAATGTATTAGTGGTTAGCAGCAGTGTGCTAGTCGATGGCCCCCTCCATGAGGCCACCACAGCTGGGCAGAACGTCATTGTAGCTTCTTCTGGGGAGAAAAACACTTACAGAGAAAATAAAGTTAACAGCTGAAATTGCACAAAATAGTACAGTTAAAGAGCAGACTGTAGAAGAAAGCAGTAGAGTGTGAAAAGTGGTCAGTGTGTCCTCCAGCAGTCTAAGCCTATAGCAGCATAACTACAGAGTTAACTCTGGATAACCTATCCTATTTAGATGTAGGCATGTTGGAGGCAGGGCAAGGGAGAGCCGTCTTTACCGACTGTACACTCCACCTCCCTGTAATCCCCAACTTGTCCAGATTTAGGCTAACATCAGATTTTAACTATAAGCCCTATCAAATAAAAATGTTTTAAGCCTATTCTTAAAAGTAGACAAAGTGTCTGCCTCACGGACTAAAGCTGGGAGCTGGTTCCACAGGAGAGGAGCCTTATAACTAAAAGATCTGCCTCCCATCCTAAGTTTAGATATTCTTGGAACCACCAGTAGACCTGCAGTCTGAGAGCGAAGTGCTCGGTTAGGAACATATGGAACAATCAGATTACTGATGTATGATGGACCTTGATTATTAAGAGCTTTATATGTGAGAAGAAGGATCTTAAAATCTATTCTGAATTTAACAGGTAGCCAATGTAGGGAAGCTAAGACAGGAGAGATATGATCTCTCTTTTTAATTCTCATCAGAACTCTAGCTGCAGCATTTTGGACAAGCTGAAGACTTTTAACTACATTCTGTGGACTTCCTGAGAGTAATGAATTACAGTAATCCAGTCTTGATGTAATAAATGCATGAACTAGTTTTTCAGCATCACTCCTGGAAAGTATGCTTCTAATCTTAGCAATTTTCCGAAGGTGGAAAAAGGAAATCCGACAAACTTGTGAAACCTGGGATTTGAATGACATGTCCTGGTCAAAGATAACACCAAGGTTCCTTGCTTTGTTCTCGGAGATTGATGTAATGCCATTAAGGTCAGGCGATTGGCTAAGCAATTTCCTTTTCTGGATTTCTGGTCCAAAGATGAGAACTTCCGTCTTGTCTTGATTTAAAAGCAAGAAGTTAAGAGTGATCCAACTTTTTATGTCCTCAAGACAAGCCTGTAATCTACCCAACCGATTAGGTTCATCAGGGTTAATGGATAAATATAACTGAGTATCGTCAGCATAACAGTGGAAGTTTATCCCATGCAGTCTAATGATTTTACCAATTGGGAGCATATATATAGTAAAAAGCATTGGCCCAAGCACTGAACCCTGTGGTACTCCGCAAGTAACCCTGGAGTATGAAGAAGATTTGTCATGTGCATTTACAAAATGAAATCTGTCAGACAGGTAGGATTTAAACCAGCCTAACGCTGTTCCTTTGATCCCTACAACATGTTCAAGTCTTTCTAAAAGAACATTGTGATCAACTGTGTCAAAGGCAGCACTGAGATCTAACAAGACTAGTAGAACAGACACAAGATTCTTATCTGAGGCCATGAGAATATCATTTGTAACTCTCACTAATGCAGTTTCAGTGCTGTGATACTCTCTAAAACCAGACTGAAATTCCTCAAACAGAGCATTAGTGTTTAAATGCTGACATACTTGGATGGCCACTATTTTCTCCAGGACTTTGGATAAAAATGGAAGGTTAGATATTGGTGTGTAATTCATTGGGTCATCTGGATCCAGAGAAGGCTTCTTAAGTGAAGGTTTGATTACAGCAACCTTAAAATCTTGTGGTACATACCCATTTACTAAGGATAGATTTATTATATCTAGAATGGGGGCAGTAACCAAAGGAAATGCATCTTTAAATAATTTGGTTGGGATTGGATCCAAAATGCAAGTTGAAGGTTTAGATTAAGCTAATATTTTTGATAACTCTGAAAGCTCAACTGGATCAAAACGGTTCAAGCACAGATGAGGTTCTAGAGTCACCTCTGAAGCTGCCTCACTTACTGAGGAAGAAGAAATCGCATTAGGGAGGATGCTAAAGATTTTGTTTCTAATAGAATTAATTTTACTTGTAAAAAATCCCATGAAGTCATTGCTGCTGAGGGCTAAGGGAATAGATGGCTCAGAGCTACGATTCTGTGTAAGTTTAGCAACTGTACTGAAAAGAAATTTAGGATTATGCTTATTCTCCTCAATTAATGCTGAAAAATAAGCAGTTCTAGTTTGTTGAAGCTTATTTTTATAAAGCACAAGACTATTTTTCCAGGATAGGTAGGCCTCCTCATGGTGCGTAGAGCGCCATGTTCTCTCCAATTTCCTAGAGTTTTGTTTTAAGGCTCGAAGATGAGAGTTAAACCAGGGAGCCAAATTCCTGTCCCTAATTACCTTCTTTTTTAAAGGGGCAACATCATCTAATGCCACACGTAAAGAGGAATTCACATGATGAACTAAGGCATCAATTTGTGAGGGGCTAGAACTGAAAATATTGCCCTCTGCTACATGCCTCTGAGATGCTGAGGACAGTAAAGATGGAACAGTTGATTTAAAAGACGCAATAGCGTTGTCAGATAGAGACCGACTATAATGAAATTTACTTTCATGTCTTGAGAACTCAGTTATAAAAAACTCAAAGGTTATCAGAAAGTGGTCCGAGAGGACTGGATTATGTGGAAAGATTGTTATTTCCTCACACTCAATGCCATAAGTCAGAACAAGGTCCAATGTATGATGGCAGGAGTGGGTGGAGCTATGTATTCTTTGAGTAAAACCAATTGAGTCTAAGATATTGCTAAAGGCTACATTGAGGCAATCATTTTCAATGTCCACATGAATGTTGAAATCCCCCACTACAATGACCTTATCAGTATTTAGCACCAAATCAGATAAAAAATCAGAGATCTGATCCAAAAACTCAGAGTAAGGGCCTGGTGGACGATATAAAACTACAAACAAGAGTGGTTTTACAGTTTTGCAATCTGGATTAGGAAAACTAAGAATAAGATGTTCAAACGAACTGTAGCTATTAATCTGTAAGGGACTGATTAATAAGTCCGAATGAAAAATGGTTGCCACTCCTCCTCCTCGCCCTGTACTTCGAGCAATGTGATGATTTAAATAATTTGAAGGAGTCGACTCGTTTAAGCTAACATAGTCCTCTTGCTGCAGCCAGGATTCTGTAAGAGAGAGCAAAGAGATCTGATTATCACAAATCAACTCATTAACTAACAAAGTCTTAGAAAAAATGGATCTAATGTTCAACAACCCACATTTATTTTTTCTAGTTTTCTGCTCAGTTGAATTTGTTCTAATATTTATGAGATTTCCATGATTTGCTTTATTAAGCCTGATATTTAATCTGTGTGATTTTGGCCGTGGGCAGGACACTGTCTCTATGGGGTAGTGGGTGGGTAACAGTACAGAAGTTGCAGAGGGGTGGGTTAAACTACGACTCTGCTTCCTGGTCTGGACCCTGGGTTGTCATGGAGGACTAATAAAACTGGCCATATTCCTAGAAAGAAGAGCTGCACCATCCAAAGAGGGATGGATGCCGTCTCTCCGCATCAGACCAGGTTTTCACCAAAAAGTTTCCCAATTATCAATGTAGCCCACGTTGTTTTCAGGACACCACCTAGACAACCAGCGGTTGAAGGACAGCATGCGGCTAAACATGTCGTCACTGGTCCAATCAGGCAGGGGGCCAGAGAAAATTACGGAGTCCGACATTGTTTTGGCAAACTTGCACACCGAAGCAACATTAATTTTAGTGACCTCCGATTGGCGTAACCGGGTGTCGTTACCGCCAGCGTGAATAACAATCTTACTGTATTTACGCTTATCCTTAGCCAGCAGTTTCAGATAAGATTTAATGTCGCCCGCTCTGGCCCCAGGTAAACATTTAACTATGGTTGCTGGAGTCTCTAATGCCACGTTTCTGACTATGGAGCTGCCGATGATCAGAGTCGGCTTGTCAGTGGGTGCGTCACTGAGCGGGGAAAATCTATTAGAAACGTGGACGGGTTGGTGGTGGCCCACGGGCTGGGTTCTATGCTTCCTGCGTACCGTCACCCAGCCGGCCTGAGGTCCCGGCTGCTCGGGTTCCACTGGAGGGTCGCTACGGGGTTGTTCTGAGCTAGTTAGCCTCGCGCTAGCTAAGTAACTGTCATGTTCCTGGGCAGAGGTGAGTCACACCTTCTCCTCTCACCAGACTCTGAGCTAATTCTCCACAGGTGAGGAGCAGGGGGAGCGGCAGCTGCAGGAGATTTCCCAATCAGGGACGCGGGTTCAAAAGGAGGATGGAGACACATCACTTTGCCGGATGATTGCACCAGTTTAGGTAGCACCAGCCACTCGACTCTGAACTTTGATCTTGTTAATTCGTGTTTTGACTCGCCTTCGACTAGTGGATTTATGACCTTGGATTGTATTTTGGATTTGGAATTGGATTATCCCTTACGCCTGTTTTTGTCTCGCTCAGGATCATCTCATCATCTACTCACCCTCGCTGTCTTCATTTTCTGGAACATACTCATCACGTCCCATCCTCCTCCGCCGTTCCTGTTTGGCTTTCCCTCTGCTACCTCACCCCTCCTGGATCTCTCATCCTCTGCCCAGCGTCCTCCCCGGCTTCCCCTCCTCTACTGATTAACCTGAGCACCTCAGAGACTCGAGCCGTATTGCTCATCCCACAGGACTTCCCTGTGCGGTTTCAGTTCCCGTTTTTATAATAAAGACATTTTACTTTACTGCTTTGGACTACGTGTGCTGATTCTGCATGTCTTGGGTTAGACACTTACCTCGAGCCATGACAGTAACTACGGCTGTTTACAGGTTTTTCAACAGCGCAGAGCCGGGACTCCAATTCCGACACCCTCGCCTCCAAAGCTACAAAAATGCTACATTTATTACACGTACCATTATCACTAAAGGAGGCAGAGGAGTAACTAAACATCTGACACAGAGAGCAAGAGATAGGAGACGGAGAAGCAGAGACAGAAGTAGCCATAGCCGTGCTGAGGCTAAGCTAACTGGACGAGCAGCAAACTGTTTAGTACCAAATAAACTGCGTGCGGACTCAAATGGTTCCCTAAAAGCTAGGTGGAACAACAGAAAATGTGCGTTTTAGCGTGCTTTTGTGCTACAATAACTCAGAGATATCCAAGTACAGAGAAATTAAATCACACTGTAAAAAAAATTCCGTTGTTTTTACAAAATAATTTTGGCAGCTGTGGTTGCCAGAAAAATTCTGTAAAAAATACTTTGAACATGTAAACAGTTTTACTGAACATACAGTAATTACAACAATGTTTACTTGTAAAATTTACATATTGTCTCATTATTTAATACACATTTTGAGTGTGATTTTATAAGGGATATTTTGTTAAAAAAAACATTTTTTACTGTATTTAAAAAAAATATCCCTTATAAAAATCACACTCAAAATGTGTATAAATTAATGAGACTATATGTAGATTTTACAAGTAAACAATGTTGTAATTACTGTACGTTCAGTAAAACTGTTTACATGTTCAAAGTGTTTTTTACAGAATTTTTCTGGCAACCACAGCTGCCAAAATTATTTTGTAAAAACAACGGAATTTTTTTTACAGGTGAATTACACAATGTTTTTCTGATGAATTAACCTGATCGTGCTGTTATTTTATGCCTTTTTCCAGTTGGATTTACAATAATGTTTGTTTTGTTGTACATTAAATTAAATTCAATCTTACTGAAAAAGACCTTGCATAACAATAGAACTGTAAAAATGCCAGTGCAAAATTTTAAATACTTCCTGAAATTTTTATTTAAATTTGCTTACAATCTTTTTCTTTTTAGTAATATTTAGTTAGGCATATGTAATAATATTTCTAAACAAACTATGATAGCCAACAAACATTCACCACCTAAACGCAACTTTAAAGAACAATGAGGCTTTATATAGAGAATCACTTATGAAAAAAATAATAAACGTACACTTGAACACCTTTCAAACTTTTATTTTGAGCCTAATTTAACCAACTGTAAAAATATGTGGAAAAGTTTTAAGGTCCACAATTTTCTTACAAAGGAAAAAAATACTCTGCTGTCATGAAGAGCTTTAACATTCTAATAATTTCAGAATGCAACTTTCTAGAACAGTAAACATACTACCACTAAAAATCAGTATGGATTTGCTACAAAGCAAGTACAACAATGGAGAAACTGCGAACACTTGAATGCAGTGTAAATTTTTATGACGTTACTTCGCAACAGTCTCATAGTTTGAAAACTTTTTTTTTCTTTTTCGACTTTTGTCCAGTTGCAGACATCACACCACTTGTGATCTGAAAGTTCTTGAATCAAGGTGAGGACCTTGGGGTACACATTATTTTTCTTTTTTTTTTTTTTTACAAAGGACAAAAAAAAATACTCTGCTGTCATAAAGCAAGAGTTTTAACATACCATTAATTTCAGAATGCAACTTTCTAGAACAACAAAGGTACTAGCACTTAAAATCAGAATGGATTTGCTTTAAAGCAAAAACAAAAATAGAGAAATGGTGAACACTTGTATGCAGTCTAAACTCTTATGTGGTTACTTCTTTACAACAGTCTCAGTCATGGTTGGAAAACTCACTGACTTTAGTCCAGTTTCAGACATCACGCCACTCATGATCTGAAAGTTCTTGAATCAAGGTGAGGACTCGGGGGTTCACATGCAGTCTGGATTTGCCGGTTCCTTCCACTTTGGTGCCCTTTTCCGGGTTGATAGAGAAGAAACACCTTAAGACAAGGAAGACAAACATAAAACTACATCAAAATTTGATTCACAAAGCACTGAACTTTAGATTTAAAGACCAAGTTCACAGACAAATAGTTTTGTACCTTTTTTTGTATTATGACTGGTCACTGCGTTTAACATTAGGGCCGAACATGAAAATGGTCTACCAGTATCTCCTGCATTAGCTGTTAATGAAAAATAGACCGGGAAAACTAGGATTAGAAAATTCAGACAACTGCACATCATGTTGTAAAGTTAGTATTCATGGACTTGGCCATCTTGGCTCATGATGGAGAAGGCGCTCCATGGCCAGCCAAGAGACATAGCATAGGAGTTGGCAACAGGAATCGGGTGAAGAAAACAGCAGAATTTGGAGACTTACATCATAATAATTGTGCTAGCTCTGCATTGTTTATGCTTTATCTCCACAAAGAACACAAGCATTAAGGAGTTGTGTTGTGGAGTTGCTAATGCTAACTGTTAGCTTCTACTAGTCAAGATGTGCTCAGCTCACTTGTGGATGCTAAACCAACAACAGCCGCCCTTCTTGTGAGAAAAGAAAGGTTGAGTCCATGAATGTAAATTTTCAGTGTGATGAAGATCTGACTGGCTTTTCTAATCTGAGCATTTTCCTTTGTCTATTTTCTATCAGAAGCAAAAGCACAAGATCGAGGTAGAACACTATTTTCACTTTCAGCCTGCATGAAAAACTCTGTGACCAATCATATTTCAAAACTAACCATAAAAAATGTTTCTCCGTATACCTGCTCTTCAAACTATAAGCAAAACAAAGACATGGTACATTCTTCTGCAATACCCTTTTTTTGTAAATCACATTTAAAAACATACCTCTGCAGAAACTCCAGTGTGCACGCTAGACCTGATGGGTAATGAATGTTCAGGCAGTAGTAGCTCCCAAACATCATGCAAAATGCAGAGATGAAGCAGGAGACGTTGTTGTGCCCAACTTCTTGATCCACACTCAACATGAACCGTTTAGCATAATAGCAGGATCGCCCTAAAGAGAAAACAAGAGAAAATTAAGACTTCTGATACAACAATAATATTTATATAAAAAATAGAGAGAATAGTACAAAGAAAAACAATGGCATAGTAAGGTTAGACAAAATAATAATTAAAAAAAGAAAATATTAAGAAAATGACAGAACACAAATATCAAGTACAGAGGAAAAACATTAGAACATTTTGAAAGCACAAACAAAATATGCAAGACGGATTAAAGAAAACAAGACAAAAAAACAACCAGAAAAAAAAACAACAAAATATTCTGAACTTACCACACACAATGACGGTAGGTGTCATGGGGACATTTTCCATCTGTACTTCTTCAGCCAGACATGTGTCCTCAACATAGAAAAACATTGCTTCTTCCTTTTCATCAAAGTAGTGAAGAAGTAGGAGCACCATCTCTTTAACATCTTCGGAAGAGCCGTCCAGTTCTCCTCTTATCATCTTCAGCTTTGTTTGAGCCTGGAAAAACCGTTTGTTCTTGTTCACACAAACAGTGTTCATGTAGTTTAGCAGTCGTTTTCCCTTCAGATCCATGTTCCGCATGAATGTTTCCTTCAGTCCAAGCCCAGTTAGTCCTTTGTAGTGGACAGCCATGCCAACTTCTTCAAATAAAAGTGGCCACTCTTTCAAGATCTCTCGGATGCTTTTCCCCTGGTTAACATCTTTGCGCTGTGTGTAGAAAGTTGCCTTCATTAATTGCTTTATTTCCTCAGGATTTGCCTCCTTTTGGAGAACCATTGTCTTAAGCTTTTCCTTCTTCAGCTGCTGGCTTTCAGGGGTTTCTCCAAGTGGCAGGAATTTTACATCCCAGTTGATGCATCCATAAGTGTCTTGAACCGAAGCTCGCTGTTCTGGAGTAATTTCATCAGTGTCTGAGTTTTCAGAGCAGTGCTTTCGCTTTCTTATTTTGGGAACTGCAGATCGCTTCACGTTCTCTAGTCGATATTGCAGTTGTTTGACCAGAGAATGATAGCCAGGGCCAATGACATCACCCTCGATGACGTCTTGTAGAGATTTTGGATATTTTGCCACCATCTTTTTTGCTACTTCTGTTGAACTTCTTTTACCTATGGAAGAACTTTTTTTCATCATTTCTGATACCACAATCCTGACCATCTCCCTCCTCATTTTTGGACTTGGCCGTTTTCCTCTCTCCAATGATTGCATCAGTTCCTCTGAAAACTTTCTCCATGGTATCTCAAAGGTATCCACCCAGTCGATTTCAGATGTCTGGTTGCTGTTGGAGTTTGATGACACGCTCAGTGGGGAAGAAGAATGCAGAGATGCAGGAGTTTCTGGTGAAGTACAAACTGGAGACCTGCTGCTTTCACGATCCTGGTCTTAGGAGCACATATAAAACACAAACACATGCAAGCTATCAGAACTGACTATGAATATCATGTTTGCAAGTGATTGTGTAAATTTTTTTTTTGGCAGCTAATGTTTCTAGTAAGACATTTAACTTACATCTGGATTTCCTAGCAGCAAGGGCTTTTCTGGCTTGTACTGGCCTCAACACTGATAGCAAGTCATCCTCGGCAATAAATTGGAAGTCGTTGTAAGTTTCCACTCCAATTGACTTTAAAGTTTCTTCGAGGATTTCTTTTGAAACCTCTGTGAGGTCAGGCAATACGTCATTGATAGCACCACGTAGAAATGTTTGTTCTGCCATTTCTGCAATAAAATAGACAAGATTTTAAGAGAGACGACGATAATTGTAATTAAACATATAGTGAACTATGTACAGATCAAAAAGCCTTCCACTTAATGTCAAATATATCATATCTGTCTCACACTTTTTAGTTATGTACATCCTTAAGTTTTTATCAATCTTTTCTTTCCCTGTTTTGCTTTGCAGTGGGATTTCCATCATAGTGCTCAAAGACTTTTCTATTTTGAAAACACACTGTGTTTCAGAGGAATAAATTGTTGTCCATTTACCTCATAAGATGTCAAAGGGTAAAAGTCAACCAAGTCATTTATGTTAAGACACAAAGTGCTTGAACTCTGTTTTGTTACTGAATAGAGGTGGTGTTCAGAATGATAGACACCTGTTTGTACATCCACAACAAAATATACTGCATTTTCATTTTGAATGAGGATTAAAACAAGTTGTCCAAACTCCATAGACTCATCATATTTTGATACTAGGAACTGCCCCTTTTTGTACAATGTTCCCTTATATTGGATTTCTGTGGAAACACTTGTATTGTTTTCTGAAAATCCAAGGTCTTTTACTGCCTGTTTTATTGCATCGCTGTACAGGTTGGAGTAAAAAACACAACTGTAGTTGACCTGCAGCAGCCGATTGCAGCTTGTGCCCGCTGAAATGTATGCCTGAAACATCTGATGTCTTTCTGACAGTGTTAGGCATATGTTTTTGAAGTTTTTTAAATGCCTTGCACATCTCTTAAAGTAGCCATGTTTACTCTCAAAACGCATTGTCCACAACCTAATTAAAGGGCCAAATTTCAAAATTAGTGCTGGATAGTGCCGTAAGAAATGTTGTTTTGGTTTAAGAGAAGTTTCAGGGAATAAAGATTTTCGAGCTTCCAAATATTCTTGGATTATTATGTCAAGATAGGCAACTTGTGGCAAAGACATTTTTTGTGCACAAACCAAATCAACAATGTCTTTGAGTTGGAGAGTTGTCTGCCAAACATCATCTTGTAGATTTTGTATCTTGTCACCAATGATCACAGGCAAAAGTCTCAACAGGTTCCAGTTTTGAACAGCCTGACCTGAAAGCCTGTTTGCCTCAGAGTTGACTGAGCATGGCTTTGTGAGAGCATCTGATCCTTTGTACTTGAACTGTTTGATTCGCCGGTTCAACAGAGTATAAGTAAACCATTTCTTTGTTTTTACAAAATATTTCAAGTACAGTGCTACATCATATGACAAGATGCCCTCAAATAAGTCATGGCCTAAGCAAGGTGGAAGGCCAGGTTCACAGACATGAAAAGACTTTAGTGAGTTAAACTCAGAGTTTACCTTGACTCCTTTGACGTCTTGATTGCTTCCAGTTTGTAGATGAAGGACAGCAGAGTTGTAAGCTTCAGGGGTGCGCTGTGGAGAACAAGCATTTGGATCATTTTCAGAGTCTTTACGTGTGATTTCACAGTACCTACAAAAGTACTTAGAGGTACTAAAGTTTTCAGTAAACCCGCCGATGCTGTGTGATCCCAAATTGTCACCAGCGATACAGAAGAGTGCTCCTTTGATAGTTTCTTCACCTGCAACAATGCCGTTTTCCTCTAAATCTTTTAAATCCATGAGAAGTTCTGAAAAAATCTTAGCAGTTCCAAACTGTTTTAAATCTTTCTCTGCACACAATGAAACAAGAAACATGTGATCAGTGCTTGACCGGACATGAACAGGTAAGTTAGCCACAGATAGATAAACAGCAACAACTTTGTGTTTCTTTTTAGCTGAACCAAGAGGATTTACAATTTCGAAGGCATCTTGGTACAGAATGAGTTTCAGGCACCCAGGATTTTCAATGAAGAACTGGTTGCACTGAAAGTTTTGTCCATCACTTATGTCATAGAAAACATCAGAGTTTGTTTCACTGGACTGTTGTAACACTGAATTCTTCCATAATTCTGATTCTAAAAGTATACTTAGTGTCTGTTTAATGGGTATGTAGTAGTAAAATCTCTGAGTCATGTTTTCATCATTCCCTAAATTAATTTGTTTTGGTTCTGTGTATTTGAACACTTTTTTGAATGTATGTGCTCTTGAATACGTTGTTCTTAGTGGTCCTCGATGACAAACAGAAAAAAGATCTGAATCTTTCACGCAGTCACATACTTTAGCAATAACATCATCTGCTAGACAAATGTCATCTTTTAAAAGTGAGTTCAGTTTACTCAAAGTGTAATCCATTCCCAGCTCATGTACATTTTGCATCTCTTCAACGATGGTCTGTATTGAGGATGCTGGTAGAAGCAGCTGTCCTTGAAGTTTTAGGTAGAAATGACACAAATTTCTGAGGAAAGCCTCACTGAAATTTGGAGACAATTCATTTGTCAGTGTGCCATTTGGGCTCTCGCCTGGCCCATCTTCTTCTGCCTCACTACAAATCTGAAATGTGCTTTCCTTGTACAAAGCATCAATATTGAGCGCAGTAAAGCCTCTATGTTTACGGGACATATGAGCTGTGAATGACGATTTAACAGTAAAATTCTTTTTACAGCCTTTTACTGGACACGCAACGGGCCGTCCCTCCAATTATATGCTCCTTTAAATGAGCAACAAGTTCTTTCACGGTTTGACTTTGGCGCCCACACAACGAAATGGCGCACTTCAAGTTTTCAACAACGACTTTAGCTGATTCAGGATGTGAAAGCACGTTGTGAACTCGGTAAAAATGAGTTTTAAATGCTGCATATGTACAAAATGTCCGTTTGCATTCAGTGCCGAGGCATTTGAATAAACAACTAGGTTCGTTTCTGTGCACTCTGCAGTGCAACACATAGCCCCTCAGTGACTGTAAAGTTACTGCAAAATGTGCAGACAAGCATGTTTAAACAATGCTAGAAAACTTCAAAGTGCGACAGCTCCGTTAAAGCTAAGCTAACTAGCTTTGCTGCATGATGAAACAAAAAAGAAAAAAATCCCCTAAAAACAAACCACTGTGCTTTTTACATTTTAAGGAAATAAAAGTTAGCTTACAGACACTTGACGTTGACGTGGTCTTGTGGGTCCTCGGGAGAAATTTTTCGGGCGGAATTCAGCCTCAGAGTCAGAGCCGTTAATTCAAACTTCGTCCAAACGGAAGTCACGCGAGAACGAGGGCAGAACGGAGAGCTGGAAGAGTGAAGTGTCCTCTGCCATGAGCTACATACGTTACAAATCACTATAGCCTTGCACCTATATTGGCCACAGTGGGGGAAATTTTGAGATTGTAGCAAAGAACTCAGTATAATGTTCCAGTTGAGTTGGGTGTTATCTCCGTTTGTGACGGCATGATGTACGGAAGGCTGATGCTGCCAAAAATGAAAAATAGACCAAAAACAAACAAATGAGAAAATACTATTGGAAATAATTAAACAATGACATTATGTCATTGTTTAATTATATAAATAAATTTATGTCATTGACATAAATTTATTTATAGTTAAATGTTTTGTTAGAACTTTGTTTAATCTATTTGTTAGTTTATTTCTTTCTATTTTTAGTTTTAGTTCCTCATTTATTTATTTATTTCCTCATATATTCATTTATTTACTTTCAGTTTTGCAAAGACAATTGCTTCACTTTGATTTTCTGCTTTATAAAATGTATCTTATATCATCGACTAAGGATAAAGTGAAACGTGATTATTTGCTATAGCCTTTTTGATAAATGTTTTTTATTTAATGCACTTGGGACAAGGAAATAAGGCAACACTTGAATGCATGAAATCTTTATCTGTTCAAATTGTATATATTTTTACAACCACTAAACGCATTCTGTTGGAGCCCCTAAAATCCTGGGTCATACAATGACTAATAATCTGTGCCATCACTGGAGGGTTTCTGAAGAGATGAACTGAAGCCCAGTGGGCCAGTCCCACCACTGCCATGTTGGCCTTGTCATCTGTCTTGTCACTCCTGGAAAATGGGGAGCCTAAGTCAAACCCATCTACTTCTGGTTACGTGGCAGAAGCGTTAAGTGTCTGCCCCATGATCAGACAATTGCAGGCTCAACCCACTCAGTCCATCACTGTCATTGGGTAAGGTATTTTTTTGCACCTGTAAACATTATTTTCTGCTGTGTATTTGGCATTTTTAACATGGGGCTCAATAGGAACTTGATATCTGGAACCAGCCCCTAGCAGATGGGGGGGGGGGGGGGGGGGGGGGGGGGGGGACTGCAATTTTTTTAAAAATGTATTTATTTTTATAAATTATTACTGAAAATGTAAAATTTCATGGTAACAGGAACACTTAAAATAGATGTTGGTAAGAAATATTGATGAAATAGAAAAAGTTTGTAAACATGATACAGAGAATCCGAAACATTTTAAATCTGGGCTTTGAAACTTGTTGGATTGTTTTGGTCTGATTTTCATGGAGAAACAAATGTGCTGCCTATAAAATTTGACATCCAGTCAATCAGCCAAACACTAAATTCATAATTTAATAGTCACAATACTGTACAGAGAAATGTTGTATCTTTAAAAACAATATTAATTGTGTATTTTTTACATCATAGAAATGTAAAAAAAATTTTTATGTTGTTTCTAAAGTTACAACTTTTCTCTGTACAAATTGCACAAATCTGTGTTTTTCACATGAAAATACAATAGTATTCACATTTTTTTATTTTAAAAATTACAGTAATTGTCTGTTCAACATTATACAACATCATGCTGTAAAATAAACACCATAACACTGTATTGTGCGCCACAACTTTTTTTTGTTGAGATTTTACAAACTTTTCCTGTTAATTCTACTGACTTTTTTTACAGTGCAGCTTTAGCGAGCCCCAAACACCAAACAGCTACACGGAGTGCAACACTGAAAACAGGAAACAGGAAACGCCTTACCGCCAGGTGCAGCCAATCAGCAATCCAACCATAACACGTACTTAGGTGTTAATGTAACTAGTAAATCTGCTCAATGTGTTAATTCCTTTTGTAAAACATATGGTATATTCGATCCATGGAGATATGCAAATCCGACTGCTAGACAGTACTCCTTTTATTCCCCGCCACACCAAACTTATACTAGGATTGATTATTTTTTGTTAGACAATAATTTGACCCCTATGGTAATGAATGTAGAATGCCCTGGTATAGTATTATCTGACCATAGCCCGGTCACACTGAAAATTAAATTCCCTGAGAGAGAGAATTATAAGATACCTTTCGTCAAACTTTTTGACAGGTCTATTGTTCTTTGACCTTTCAGTCCTATTGTTCATTTGACCCTTGACCTTGCCCCCCTTTCCTATCATTAATCAAATGGACAGGTGTATTGTTCAAACTTTGCCCCCCCTTCCGTATCATTAATCAAATGGACATGTGTATTGTTGATCGTCCAGATGGCCTAGACCCCCCACGCCGCATCATCAATGGCGTATTGTTGAACGTCCAGATGTCCATGATTCCCCACGTCATAGGCTAATGTGTGTAATGGCGTGTGAAGTTTCTTATTGTGTTACCCAGCGGTTCCCACAGCCCCCCTCCCTTCTGAGTGTAATCCTATTGTGTATAACTCTTTAAAAGCTCAGATCTGTCCGAATGGTGAAAAGCCGAGCTCTAAGAAAAAATGATGAACCACGAGGAGATGCATGAAGCACCAAGATGACGCTGCAGCCCTTATAATGCATTTACCAGCCCTTACTGGCACACTATATCAGTCTAACCTCGTGGGACTTTTTATATCTAACATGACATGGCTCACTGACAGTGGATGAGTGCGGCCTAACTGCTGTGAATGACAGCCCCACACGCTGGTCAAGTACTTATGAAATGGTTGTACGTCTCCTCAAAGTTAAAGAATCTGTTTGTGAAGTAGCAAACAAGATGGGATGGTCTGCTTGCTCTCGAGTGAGTGGCATAAGCTGAAGTCAATGCAAGAACTTTTGCAGCCTTTTGCTGAACACACACAAACTCTTCAGAGTGACAAATTGTCTATGTCATTAATACTCTCTTTGATTTACTCAGCCATCTGAAAGATGTTCACGTTGGAATTCGTATGTTCAGTCTTAAACTTTGTGTTTAAATGTGTTATTTACATGCAGCTCACTGACACTTTTTGACCAGAACTAAAACTAGTGTGTAAAACTTTCTGTCCAGCAGCACATCAAATTAATGGCTGTAAACACACACACACACACACACACACACACACACACACACACACACACACACACACACACAAACTCTTCAGAGTGACACATTGTCTATGTCATTAATACTCTCTTTGATTTACTCAGCCATCTGGCATATGTTCACGTTGGATTTCGTATGTTCAGTCTTAAACTTTGTGTTTAAATGTGTTATTTACATGCAGCTCACTGACACTTTTTGACCAGAACTAAAACTATTGTGTAAAACTTTCTGTCTAGCAGCACCTCAAATAATGGATGAATCATCAGAGGCTGTAAACACACACACACACACACACACACACACACACACACACACACACACACACACACACACACACACACACACACCCCACAGCCCCCTCCCTTCTGAGTGTAATCCTATTGTGTATAACTCTTTAAAAGCTCAGATCTGTCCGAATGGTGAAAAGCCGAGCTCTAAGAAAAAATGATGAACCACGAGGAGATGCATGAAGCACCAAGATGACGCTGCAGCCCTTATAATGCATTTACCAGCCCTTACTGGCACACTATATCAGTCTAACCTCGTGGGACTTTTTATATCTAACATGACATGGCTCACTGACAGTGGATGAGTGCGGCCTAACTGCTGTGAATGACAGCCCCACACGCTGGTCAAGTACTTATGAAATGGTTGTATGTCTCCTCAAAGTTAAAGAATCTGTTTGTGAAGTAGCAAACAAGATGGGATGGTCTGCTTGCTCTCGAGTGAGTGGCATAAGCTGAAGTCAATGCAAGAACTTTTGCAGCCTTTTGCTGAACACACACAAACTCTTCAGAGTGACACATTGTCTATGTCATTAATACTCTCTTTGATTTACTCAGCCATCTGGCAGATGTTCACGTTGGATTTCGTATGTTCAGTCTTAAACTTTGTGTTTAAATGTGTAAATATTTACATGCAGCTCACTGACACTTTTTGACCAGAACTAAAACTATTGTGTAAAACTCTCTGTCCAGCAGCACATCAAATTAATGGCTGTAAGCCAACACACACACACACACGCACACACACACACACACACACACACACACACACACACACACACACACACACACACACACTTACACACACATTTAAAGCACTTTCCCCTTTCAGAAAATGTCTGACTCTCTCTGTTACCAACTCTAAACACCATTCATACATTTCTCTCACTTCAGAAAAGCAATGGTTTGCCATCCTAAACCATTTATGGTTCTATTGTAAAGCACCCTGCATACTCAAGCCTATAAGAATAAAAGTTGATCCTTACCTCAGTGTGACGCTTTTAGTCGACAACTCACAAAGCAAATGACTCTGTATTGTTTTGCAGGTGGGCTGAATTGAAAGAGTGGCGGGAAGTTGGTTCAACAAAGATCTGTTGAGCTTTCTTAAAGTTCATTCTAAACAATTTTACACGGCCAGCGACTTCTGACAAAGCAAATGACTTCCTTTTTTTTTTGCAGGTGGCGGGAAAGTTTTAAAACAAAGATTTGGTTCATTCTAACCTAGTCGGCATGGAAACAATTCACAAAAGCAAATGACTTGCTATTGTTTCAAAGAGCTATTTAGGTGAACAGCATCTTTGGTTCGTCATCATCAGCAGTGAAAGCTTAACCATCGCCTCCTGCCTTTAGTGTCACATTTTGTTTTCACTGTCACACACACACACACACACACACACACACACACACACACACACACACACACACACACACACACACATTGCTTCCTGCCTCAAAGAAAAGATTTGATCCTTTTTGTAGGACCTATAACAGCTGAAATAAATAAAAAGCTGTTTATGAGGTTTGTTTTTTGGGAGGGGTGGATTAGTAAAGTCTCAGAGCAGACGTACCTCTGGTCAAACCTTTAATGTCATACCTCTCAGAATAGTTAAACTAAGGCACATGCATGTCGTAAATGGATTTACACACGAG